CACATTGAGATCCTCTCGAACCCGCCGCTTGCGACGAAGAATGTTCATGATTGACTTCCACGGTGAAGGAATAACATCGTGTAATAAAAATCAAACCTGCAAAATTATAATTTGCGTAATTACTGGTGGTAGAGCCTCTTGTGAGTCCGCACGGGTAGGTAGGTACCACCACCCCGCCTATTTCTGCCGTGAAGCAGCAATGCGTTTCGGTTTGAAGGACGGAGCAGCCTTTGTAACTATACTGAGACCTTAGAACTTATATCTCAAGGTGGGCGGCGCATTTACGTTGTAGATGTCTACGGGGTCCGGTAACCACTTAACACCAGGTAGGCTATGCAATAAAACAATAAATAAATAAATAAATAAATAAACTTGCAGTGATTTATCCCTATGAAAGTATTTATCAGTTAAAAAATTAGATAATTCTGAATCGTGCATTGTGGATAGAGTAGAAATCAACTCGAGAATAAAGCTAGGCCTTTGTTATCTGCGGCCGACGGATCCTGTCTAGACCAGAACAACTGTCCAAGTCGGAACGCACGATAGCTTCGCCGTAAAAGACAAAATCGTGGTACCCACCCATGCAGACTTAAAAACTCACCCTAACTAATATTACAAACAATTAGCAATAGTTAGTGTCAATAATTGTACGGTTCGCCCTAATCGTAACGAAATTCTGAAGAATGTACAATCTTTTCCGCCCTTTGCTATTTGTAATAAGACAACAATAGTATTGTTTAGATCGTTTTTGTAGAGATTAGAATCGGTTAAACAATTTGCTTGTCTCTTATGCCTTTATTGGCACAAAATTCGATCCACAAAACATTGATGCACATCGCGTCCTTCTGTCTTTAGGTTTGCAGCTTTGGAAAGGGTAATAGGAAGCTGCATCGTTGTTTATTGGAACGAAGTTCCTTATCGCGCGTTGTGAAAGGGGGCTAGACGGAAAAAATTCTTACGAAAAGTTGTCACGACACTTTTTAGATCCGTCATTCTGACCAATCAACGTGTAGGCGCTTATCGCGTGACATTGCTCGTATCCGATTGGTCCGCGTAATGAGTACAGTTTCTCGAGATAGCGTTTCAATAATAGTAATTTAGTTCATAGTATTGTTTTTTTCTTCTTCATAATGCCGTAATTTATTATTATAACTTAAAAAAAATTACAATTCCTTCACTAATTAATCGAAAGGAACTTCGTTCCATCCGGGTGTCCCTTGACACCTCTGAAGTTTTTTTATGAGTTTTGATAGAACAGAAAGGCAACAGTTTATTGACATATCGACGCTTGAAAGGCAAACATGACTAAGCGACAATGCGTGAACTTTACAGTAGACTATACTGTAACTATGCTGAGATCTTAGAACTTATATTTCAAGGTGGGTGGCGCATTTACGTTGTAGATGTCCATGGGCTCCAGTAACCACTTTACACCAGGTGGGCTGTGAGCTCGTCCACCCATATAAGAGATTAAAATAAAATAAAAAAAAGACTAATTTAAAGTTGAAATACCTGAAAAAAAATCTATTTTAACGAATCTAGCTGTAGGATTGAAACGATTTTAATAGACCTAGACATATATTTTTTTTTTGCGCATCGAATATGGTTATTGCCTATCATTTATGTACAAAGCAGTTATTGTCGCTTAGTCACGTTTGCCTTTCAAGCGTCGATATCGTCATCTCGCATTAAAACTGTATAATCTCAAAACTTACTAATTTTACAGGAGAGTGTTTTAAAGGTTTAACATGTCATTGTAATATTTTTAATATTAATCATATTTGCAACATATATTTTTTGAATTTTTACCAGTTACATTATTCGTCTTTTAAAGTAAGATAAAATTATGTATTAATTTTGTTAAAGCAGAAACAAAATATAGATAAACTAAAAAAAATAATCTAAAACTAAACTACGCTCTTTTGACAGTATTTATGAGAAAAATACTGGTGATACCAAATATTTAGGCATACTAACTCAATTTCGGATATATTTGGAAATTGTACACTTTTCATGCGAAATGACGATATCTGGAAGCATGAACATGGGCTTCTCTGCCAGTCTATAACGGAAAAACTAACGGAATGCCTTTTTTTTTATTGCTTAGATGGGTGGACGAGCTCACAGCCCACCTGGTGTTAAGTGGTTACTAGAGCCTATAGACATCTACAATGTAAATGCGCCACCCACCTTGAGATATAAGTTATAAAGTCTCAGTATAGTTAGAACGGCTACCCCACCTTTCAAACCGAAACGCATTATTGCTTCACGGCAGAAATAGGCGGGGCGGTGGTACCTACCCGTGCGGACTCACAAGAGGTCCTACCACCAGTAAAACCTCTCTAGAGATCTCTGTCACATTCCCAGAAAAAAGGAAATAAAGATATCTCTGAAGTAATTTCTTTGGTTAAGCCTAGATTACTGATGGTCAAGAGGTGTTTAAAGCTTTTCCAGAACTAATTAGTGATCTCCACGGTTCAGCCAGGAGGGAAGAGGTTTGCCAACCAACAGCCAAGCCATGGTTGAATAAATGGATCAACCATCGGATGATAATCGCGAAATGGGCGACAAAGCGAGAGATTCAGCGGATTGATGCTCTCGTCTGTGTAAGGAGTACAGAGAACTGTGCTTTCACTTATCACTAGTATTACTATACTAAGCTGTGTTTTACTGGTGGTAGGACCTCTTGTGAGTCCGCACGGGTAGGTACCACCACCCTGCCTATTTGTGTCGTGAAGCAGCAATGCGTTTCGGTTCGAAGGGCGGGGCAGCCGTTGTAACTATACTAAGACCTTAGAACTTATATCTCAAGGTGCGTTTACGTTGTAGATGTCTATGGGCTCCAGTAACCACTTAACACCATAAAAAAAAAAAAAAAAAAACTATTCATTTTAGAAAGTATTTTTCTGTAAAAAGTTAGACATTTTCAAATCGTGCATTGTGGATAGAGTAGAAATCAACTCGAGAATAAAGCTAGGCCTTTGTTATCCGTCGCCGACGGATCCTGTCTAGACCAGAACAACTGGGGTGTGAAGATATATCAATATTTACGTTTGTATTCACGTCTCGTCATACTAAACGTTAACCGGAATTTAAAAGCATTCGGCGTTACGCGGCTATATTTTGCGGATCGCTTTGTGCAATATCGAACCAATAATTCAAGCCATTAGAAGCATATAGAACCGGTTTGTTAATTTTATTAAAAAAAAAAAACAAAATGTGTGCAATTCACACGTGGTAGAAGTGAAACCTTCCAAAATTAAAATACAATTATCCTAAACGTCTTAAGTATATGTAAAATTTTGTCATTAGTAAATAATTGTAAGGTAGCGCCCTCTGTGAATTGATATTTTAATTTCACGTATAATCCTAAATTAAAATTCACTACAAGAGCTTTCANATTCACACGTGGTAGAAGTGAAACCTTCCAAAATTAAAATACAATTATCCTAAACGTCTTAAGTATATGTAAAATTTTGTCATTAGTAAATAATTGTAAGGTAGCGCCTTCTGTGAATTGATATTTTAATTTCACGTATAATCCTAAATTAAAATTCACTACAAGAGCTTTCATACACACGTTAGTATTAAAAAATCTCACAGATGGCGCTGTATTAAATAGTATGTATATTTCTGTCTCATTCTTTGCTGGCTTCATCCTACACATGTTTGTATTTGTGTCTCTTACCTGTCGTTTTTTCCGTTGCTTCCGGTTTGAAATCACAACGATTCTAAAGAAGTTTTCACTTCAAAAAAACGTGTGGCACTCGGGAACTACCGCGGTAAATCTATTGCATAGCATTTTTTATCAACTTATGCAATTATAATTAGACAATGATAATTTAATATTAAAAGAATGATAAAACAAGATCACGCTATATTAAACATTAATAAAAGCAAAACCTTAACTGACCTCTTCACACTCATAAGCTAGACCGCGCGAGAGAGAGATAGGCAGACTTTTCATGATGCGCATGGAGTGTGACGTCACGCCACGCGCTTATTCACAAACACTACACAAGCGCAACGTGTGAATGTGTTGAGCGCGAGCTACATGGTAGGCGGAGTGAGGGGGTGTTAGGTTTTTTTCGTTACGGAATTTCATGATTCGGTCGCCGCACTCAAGGACCGCGATAAAAGCTATGCAATAGCTTAAAAAAATTTTTGTTTAATGGTTCGTTTTGGTTTTATATCTGTTATTTAGATACTATCTTTGTTAGTGTAGAGTCTACATATGCGACATTGTGTTTATAGAGTTTTTTCGGCATTCGCATGTCCTAGTCCATCGAATTTCAAACTTTTTTACAGAGCGACGCATTAACATTAACATTACAAGCAAAATTTTTGTTAGTTGAATTAAACGTAGGTAACATTTATTAAATCTAGTAAACCATTGTACATTTACATTATGTGTACCCCAGAGAAGAAAATTGAGGTACTTTAATTTAAAAATATCGTATTTGTGAACCTTGTATCGACATTTGAGAATATGTCGCGACGCAGTAGTTGAGTGCCGCTGTCCAGGTCAGTCCTAATAAGGCTCATATAATTTTCGTTCTAATCATGAGAGGTGATGCCAATGGGTTCCGTTAGCCGCCAATTCGTCCGTTAACTATAGAAATAAGTTTAAGTTAAGACATCTTGGATGCGCACTTCCCGCGCGATGGTAGATCTGCACAATTAGACCACGTCTGCTCAGGGGAGGTGATTTTAGCGTTACTTCACGCCGAACCCCGCGGGGACCGTCAGGGATATTACAAAGAATTACACTGTGATTTTTTGAAGTGAAACTTCTTTATCGACGTAGGGAGGCAAAAAACGTATGTAACGTTTTTCGGTTACGCGCCATCTTAATTTCTTCCGTTACGCGCCATGTTTATTTTATTTCTATTCAGTTTGTTATCAACAGATGTCGCTGCACGTAAATTCAACCATTCCTGAATCGCGGTGACGAGATGTTACACAATTGATAGACGTTCTCGTATTTCTCTTGCTAGATCATACTTACCTAGTATAGGGATACCGTGATCATGCAGGCGGTTCCCCGGGGTGCGGCTGCTCCATTGCACTGCGGAGTAGTGCGGAGTGGTTGACCCTTGCGATTATTTTTATATTTTATAAGTTTCACTTGGACCGTGTGTGACTAGTGACTTGCACACACACACACATTTTTTTCTTTAATATCTCAATATTTCGAAAGTTTCCCCAGGCTCAATTCTAGTTGATGATACCGGTGGCAGCTTCAGACGGGCAGATTGATTTTAAAGATATTTGATTACAGAAAAAGCTCCTTAACACGTGCTCTGAGGAATTGTTAAAACTTTCGCGTGGGCAACCTCATTTCTGAACATTGCTACTGTGGCGCATCTTTTTAATACGCTTCTATTAGCTTCAGACGTATGTATGTTTGTAACGAAATCTTTGAACATGATTTTGACCNAAAAAAAAAAAAAAAAAAAAAAAAAAAAAAAAAAAAAAAAAAAAAAAAAAACACGTGCTCTGAGGAATTGTTAAAACTTTCGCGTGGGCAACCTCATTTCTGAACATTGCTACTGTGGCGCATCTTTTTAATACGCTTCTATTAGCTTCAGACGTATGTATGTTTGTAACGGAATCTTTGAACATGATTTTGACCCCCTTCAAAACGTTGGATTAACTCGAAATTTGGTACACTTATTAAAGACCGATGACAATTCAATATTTAAAAAAATAATAGAAAAAAATATTGAAAAAATTGAAATTCAACTAAAAAATGAAAAATAAATAATACTTTAGAAAAACCAACCAAATTTGCTGTTATAGAAAATACAACTGAAAAATAGAAAATAAATTTTAATAAATTTGAATTCTGTGTGCTTTTCAGGATATTATCAGAATAATCCTTCTACTCATATCTGTTCATAAAATATTTATAACTACTGATACCATGCACCCCACGCTTCTTTTACAATAAAATATTTTTTTCTTACCCTATTTTTAAATCAAATTTATTAATTTTATTTTTTTATTTTTAGTTGGATTTTCTATAAAAGTGTATTTGGTTAGTTTTTTTAAACTATTATTTATTCCCATACAAAGTTTAGCAGCGTTCAAAAACGTCCCACTGTAATACGTACATCCTATGATGATTTTTTTAGGGAACGCGGCGGTGTTGGCTATGATAATCGAATGTGTTGTGACGCTAAGTATATGCGCCATAGAAATTTGCCCATAATATAGACGTCCAAAGACGTTCCTACAAAATAAATATGATTATCTAGAGGCCGTCATATGACGTTGCGCCATTTCATAGTTTTAAAAACACGATGTGAGGTTTGCTGATGTTGAGGGTTTACTGTGCGCTCTCCTCCGGACACCTCATCAGAGTTGTCAATGAAACACTGACTATAATTGTATGTTCATTCGCCTCAGCCACCGCAGTGGATCGCTGCACGTTAACCTTTTTTTTTTTTCCTACCTAAGCTGGTAGCCCTAGGAGCTATGTCAGCGTAACCCTAACTTTAGTAGGTGAGCTCACGGGGCTCAAACCTGGTGACGTTGCTAACACGAACCCTAGCAAGAGCCGTGCTTCGCAGAATCTACCACCGGATCGGAAACGCGACCCACTGAGAAGATCCGGCGAGAAACTCAGTGGGCTGTGTCTGAGAGTTAATTTACTCGTCGATTCCCTTCGTCGCAAGCGACGGGTTCGACGAGAACGGTGACCGGTGCTTGAAGTACCTAAAAGCACCGTTAGTGGATCGGGAGGATCCGAGATGACGTGTTTTGGGTGACGTCGACTGCTTTCCATTCTGTCCGCAGGATCGGGAATGGCACGTTAACCACTGACTGACTAACGTGTGTTGCTCATTACTATAACTGCATAGTAAGCTAAGCGGGGCGGGGTATCATTCCCCTACAACGACTTTGTAAGACGTTGCTCATGTGAACGTGGATGATTCCATCGTCTCGTTTCTACCATCGCACCGCCCGCCACGAGAGTATAGTTCATCCGTACTACCTGGACCCACTGCTTTCATCACAGTACGCTTCCAGAGATCTTTTTTCCCACGTACCATCCGGCTTTGGAATGAGCTCCCCTCCACGGTGTTTCCCGAGCGCTATGACATGCCCTTCTTCAAACTAGGCTTGTGGGAGTACTTAATGGTAGGCAGCGGCTTGGCTCTGCCCCTGGCATTGTTGAAGTCCATGGGCGACGGTAACCACTCACCATCAGCTGGACCGTGCTTACTAGGGCAATAAAAAAAATAAAATTGTATGCTGGATTCAAGCCGGTGTCGTCTGATAAGGATACACCGGACGTCTTATCAATAAGCCTTTTTTTTCTTTCCATTTCAATAACCACGTGTCAAGCCCTTTGGTCTCGCAGTGACCTTAAGTCCCTGATGCAGTCTTTGGGAAAGGCTTTCTCTAAAGCAAAGATATAAAGAGGGGTGAGTCGGGGAGAATTTTATTGATTTCTCTTTCTATATTTGGTGTGCAGTCAGTTTGGCTAAGATTGGCGTCTTTTTTATACAAAATTTCTGAGAATAGTTTGAATGTTGTTTCAGATTAAGTGGGCGTTCTTTTCTGAAACTTATCTGAAGGCATAAAGTCGAATATTAATAATATTTTAGTATTTAACACTAAACATTATAATCAAAATGATTTGTCTACAATACTCCCTACCACCAGTGTGTGATACTATACATCGCAGCATAACACAGGTAACCCTTCTATAACACGGTAGATATATTCCTACCAAGTGCCGTGTTGTATGAAACCGTTGTATGTATACGACGAAGGGAAGATCTTCCAACGAGCGGGTGATATTGCTCGGTAGACCGACATTCCGAATGTTGTTGCTCGGAACTTGTATATATGTAAGCTTATCTTGAAAATGTCGTAAGCGAGATTCAGATATCTGACAAAGATGATTGTGTTCTGTGATGGCTACCACATCAGCGATTTAAATGAGAATAGAAGCCAGTACATAAAGAAGAGTAATTTTTCTGTGTGAAACATCTCAACAACTATGCCTGTATGTATTTTTTAGCTTTTATACATAAATAATAAGCAGTGACATTTCGGTTGTTCCCATTTATATTGTGTATTCATAGTGCATAATTTAATTTTAAACAAAAATATCGTTATCGTGTTGTAGAAGTTTCGTGCTGTAAGAGGGTTTTGGGGAATTTTTCTTTACGTGTTAGATTGTAATCGTGTTGTAAAATACCGCGTTATAAGAAGGTTACTTGTATTCAGAGAATACTGCAGCCTCTTTCCCGGGGAATCCCTGCGTCGCCTCTTAAAACACTCACAGAAATAGTCAGGATAGTGTGACTCTAAGCTAGATTTTTTTAAATCCATGGCCAATCTAGCTTTTGGGCACGGATGCAAAAGAGCAGTAAAGTTGTTGTTAAAGAAAAATCGAAATACACAAAAGTGCCAATTCGTTTCAATCCTACTACCGATAAGGCATAAAAGTGTAAATCGTAAAAACGTTGACACAACGTGCGGTTTACCTACAGACACTAAAAGTCGGGGCCGTAAACATAAGCTGAAGCGATTTGTGATTCAATTCGAAATCGTTTTTTACACACTTTTTTTCTTCTATAATAAAATTATAAATTCAAAATTGAGCTTTTATGTTTTTTTACGCTATCACGTCAACCAATCAGAAACAATAATTATATGTATATTATGTATTATTTTATGACTATCTGCCAAATCGATGGACCATAAAGAAAAGTTTCACCAGTAAAACTATAAGGCAAATTGAGTTGCTCTGTAAAGAGAAACAACATTTAAGGTTATTGCTTTATCAGTTCTTATGTTTCATATGTTTTAATATTAACACATACAAGTCATCGTGTCCTAAAGGGTAGGTAAGACGTCCGGTCTATTCGTATCGAGCGATGCACCGGTGTTCGAATCCCGCAGGCGGGTACCAATTTTTCTAATGAAATACGTACTCAACAAATTTTCACGATTGACTTCCACGGTGAAGGAAAACATCGTGTAATAAAAATCGAACCCGCAAAATTACAATTTGCGTAATTACTGGTGGTAGGACCTCTTGTGAGTCCGCACGGGTAGGTACCACCACCCCGCCTATTTCAGCCGTGAAGTAGTAATGCGTTTCGGTTTGAAGGGTGAGACAGCCGTTGTAACTATTTTGAGACCTTAGAACTTATATCTCAAGGTGGGTGGCGCATTTACGTTGTAGATGTTTATGGGTAACCACTTAACACCAGGTGGGCTGTGAGCTCGTCCACCCATCTAAGCAATAAGAAAAAGCGCATAATTTCGGGTCGCATAAAGGGCAGGCGGATTGGGCCAGTAGCGATTTGAAAAAATATCTTAGTGTTAGATAGCCCATTTATCGAGGAAGGTTATAGACTATATAACATCACGCTAAGACCAATACAAGCGGAGCACCAATAAAGAATGTTTCAAAATCGGGGCTTTTTTTACCTTTTGAGAGCTTCCGCTGCGTGCGCTGCGGAAACGGTTAAAGTTTCGCTAAAATAATGTATGACAGAATTGTTCCCCTTTAAAAGATCTAAAAAAAAGTCCGCGACAGCATATGTCTATATGTTAAGGTTGGCTCACTATTACGTTATTTATGCTAACCACCTTGGTCCTAAAATAAAGCATTATTTGTGAACTATTCCACGCGGACGAAGTCGCAGGCAAAAGCTAGTTGTAAAGTGTCATTACGAAAATACATTATTGAATTTTCAATGAAAGATATCTAGATATTTTTTCTCCGGCTCAATCCTACGCTCTCATTAATAAAACCACTATCTCGAACCAAAAGTTACCCTGTGTCCTTCATTATCTAAATCTGACAGCTACCGCTCATGAGTGCCCGCTAAGCGCTTGTAGAACGACTCGCACCTAAAACCGGCTGTACCTGGTTGTATGATAGAAATCCATGTTATTTGTAATAAGGATTCCGTTGTAATAATGCTATTTGGATAGGAAGATCTGGCTTAAGGCCACGTACCTACGTTGCGCATTGAACCACGCATTTAATCTGATTTTAAAGTATGTTTTTTGTTATGTATGGGTTGCGAATTGAGTAAGCTAAGTAAATAATACGACATAGCCACACGATAAGGCTTTACAATTCACTGGGTTCCTACAAACTAAAGTTGCGTGAAAAATATGTTTGAACCAGCGAACACGGATCACACTCCGCTGTGATTCTCGACAAGTATCGACACATCCATTTGATTCATCTTTTTTATTTTTATTGCTTAGATGGGTGGACGAGCTGTAACAATTTTTCTAATGAAATACGTACTTAACAAATGTTCACGATTGACTTCCACGGGGAAGGAATAACATCGTGTAATAAAAATCAAACCCGCAAAATTATAATTTGGGAAATTACTGTTGGTAGGACCTCTTGTGAGTCCGCGCGGGTAGGTGCTACCACCCCGCCTATTTCTGCCGTGAAGCAGTAATGCGTTTCGGTTTGAAGGGTGAGGCAGCCGTTGTAACTATACTTGAGACCTTAGAACTTATATCTCAAAGTGGGTGACGCATTTACGTCGTAGATATCTATGGGCCCCAGTGACCACTTAACACCAGGTGGGCTGTAAGCTCGTCCACCCATCTAAGCTATAAAATAATAATAAATTAAAAAATCTTTAGGCTACAATTAGTTTATTTATTTGTGTTTCAGGAAATGCTTTGTCTCGTGAACTATGACGTAATTGTTCAATATGGTGCGATATCTATTAATATCGCTTAATTGAGACGTTAACCTCGGAACACGCCTTGATTTAGCTTTATGGAGAAGCGGAATCAACATACGACCCATGTGATTGTGGCCGTCGGTCATTGACGTCAACAAAACCACAGCATACCACGGGGGACTGCTTACAAAAACTAGACTGGAACTTAGGGAAGCACACGGAGGTACCTGTTCAGCCGCTCTACGCAGTGGAAAGAAGTCTGCTTCGATGGTTTCGTGATGGTATACTTTTCCCTACCTATTCTAAGGGGCTATTCTAGCTCCGCCCGGACGGGCAGGTAAGTTCATGGGCTCAACCTGAGAGAATTTACTAACACTAGCCCTAACAAGAGCAGTACTTCCCAGAGGCTATGGAATGACCTCCCCTCCACGGTGTTTCCCGAGCGCTATGACATGTCCTTCTTCAAACGAGGCTGGTGGAGAGTATTCAGCGGTTTGGCAGCGGCATGGCTCTACCCCTGGTATTGCTGAAGTCCATGGGCGACGGTAACCACCGACCATCAGGTTGGCCGTATGCTCGTGTGCCTACAAGGGCAATAAAAAAATTAAAAAAAGTCTACCACTGGATCGGTATCGCGACCCACTGAGAAGATCCGGCGAGAAACTCAATGGGATGTGTCTATGGGTTAGTTTACTCGTCGAACTCGGCAAGCGACGGGTTCGACGAGGACGGTGATCGGTGCTTGAGGTCCTAAAAGGACCGAGAGTCGTGATGGTATAAAGCAGACGAAGGGAGTATCACGGTACATTAGTGTGCATGCCTCCGTGAATATTATCAGAGATATTCATGGATATAATTTATTCCGTTTTTCTTTTTTTCTTTTTCATCTGCTTATCCCCATGTTGCTCGGAAACGTGATGGCCCAACCGAACTACGCCGGATGTAAAATTCGTACTGATAAATAAAGGAAGAGGTTAAACTGCCGAGGTGAGCTCCACAAACATCATATACGTAGGGCTGCCACCGAGCTTGTTGGTTTTATGATTATTTTTTTTGACTACCTACCTATTAAAATTTTGATTGCATCCCTGTCTACCGTGATGACGGAGTTTTGCGCCCAATAGTGGTGATGGAAATCAGAGCTGTGATAGTGACTGTAAACCTGATGGGAAACTATTAAGGATATCAGAATAGAACGATACGAATATGCCAAGATGCAAACGGTAGACATTGGTCTAGGACGGTTTCCGCAATGAAAAATCAATATAATAATACAGGTTTTTCACTATAAGTTTGTAATACACTGATATATAATATAAACAAATAAATGCAAAAAAAAAAAACTTTAACGTGCCATCCCTGGCGGCTAATATGTGAGTGACGGGAGGTCATAAATTGCAGACGTCACACGCGTCGGTGCCGCGACCTATCGTGGGCCACGGCGATATTAAAACTGTTACCAAAACTTGAGTCGTTCAGTATACTTATATTTTAATAGTTGCCAAAACATAGACATATGCCCTTTTCGCTCTAAATAAACACGTTCGAAGAGATTGGTGTCTTTTATTTTTGTTTAGATAGGTGAACGAGCTCACGGATGAATGTTGTTAAGTGGTTAATAAGCCCATAGACATCTACAACGTAAACACCACCTTGAAATATGAGTTTTAAGGTCTCAGATTTTACTTCTCACTCAGGCATCGCGCTTTGTCGTATAATGCGTCGCATGCTGCGCCAAAATACGTATATTTTGCATTAGATAAAATAAAAATTCACGCGTTTTCGTCCGGCGTCCCGAGGGGGAGGGTGATGGGAGAGATGTGCTCCGCACTAAGCGCTTCACTCTCCCCCCTTTGCTTTTTCATGAGTTATGAGTTCTGTCTCATGAGAGGCTCGGACGTGGGTTGTTGAGCGACGGGCTTTAGTCGGTTCGACTCCGACATACAACGCCCGCCATCCCCAGTGGAGGGTGGGAGTCCGGCGATTTCCTCCTGACAAAAAATATAAAATAAAAATAACATAATAGTTCATTAGGGTAATGTTGTCGACAAGCCCACTGAGTTTCGTCCGAGATCTTCTCAGAGGGTCGCGCTTCCGGTCCGGTGGTAGATTCTGCGAAGCACTGCTCTTGCTATCAAACTCTCTCAGGCTGAGCTCGTGAGCTTACCTACCCGTCAGGACGTAGCTGGAATCAGCGAATAAGTACGATTTTTTTTTTGATAGCGTTCTTGTCGTTTAAAACACCCACCCTGTATAATGAGCCCATAGACGTCTACAACGCAAATGCCACCACCCACCCTTAGAAATAAATTCTAAGTTCTCAGTATAGTTACAACGGCTGTCCTACCCTTCAAACCGAAACGCATTACTGCTTCACGGCAGAAATAGGCGGGTTGGTGGTACCTACCCGTGCGGACTCACGCGAGGTCTTATCACCGGTAAATAATAATACCACCAATCCGTCCACGATACGGCTCCTTGTAAACCACATTTTTTTTTGTTTAATACCAAAAAAGTCCAAGGAACCCTAAATTTATCGGTTTAACCTCAAGTAAAGTCAGACAAAGTCGAGTAAACAGGTTTATGAGTTCGGTCCGTCCCGGGGGCGTCGTTCCTACGTCCGGGGTGCTTCGCCCCACCACGCACGTAATTGCGACGTATCGGATCTTAGCAAGGTGTCGATGTTACGGCGCAAAATTGTTTTTCGATGGTCGTTTCTGACCGGGAACATCGCTTTTGTGATTGTAAGTTGAGCTTAACAGAAATAAATAGACGTAGCTTAAATTGCCGCGCCGGGACAGAGGCCAAGACCCACTTCGGGGTCATAGCGCCATCGCAGTAGTAGTAATGGTAGGCAGTAGTGGTTGTAGTAATAAATGAGTCGACTATTATCAAAGCCGGCAATGTGACTTTTGGACAATTATTGGTAAATCAGAAAAACGAATTAATGACTTTGTATTCCATTGGCAGTCACAAAACTCTTCTGAACGACATCTTAGATAAATAACAGATTAAGTATTAACCTTTATTTAATGCAGGTTTTGAACCGTATTCTTTGAAGGAGACGATTATGTTCAAATCAATCTGTATTGACATATCAATAACATTTTTTTGTCCAAATGCACAGATTGCCACCTTTGATAATAGACGACTCAAATAATAATGATAAAATAAGCCTCTTTATTTTTGGTTATATTATCATAGGTGGATTATATGAGGGCTTAAAGTATGAAATTGCCGATTTGTACTGAAAATTGGAAATTAGTTTTTGGGACGAAGCTCCTTATGGGACGATGCGGAGGGGTACCGTAACCGGGAAAAAACGTCCGTAACGTAAGATTTTTGTTATTTATGTATAGTCTTAGTATGATGGCGATACAGTGTCTAATGTATAGTCTACGTGATGACGGTTATTTTTATTATTCATATAAATAGTTGTTTCTTTGTATATTATTATTATATATTCTTTATAAATCATTGTGAATAAAGTAAAGTTGATAACTTTGTAAAGTAGTTTTTTTTTATCAATAAAAAAATATTAATAAAAAATGTATACCCGAACAATTATTTTCTTTATACCTCGAATAGAACTTAAAATTAATATTTTTATAATAAGAAACTTCGTTCCTATCCGGTGTCCCGCGACACCATACATCTTTTTCTTTTCATTTAACATATTTATTTAATCAAAATATCTACCATTATTATATATACATTGCTGCCATTAGGAAGGTAATTTATGTCTTTGCGATAGAACTCTGGTGATCTAGATTCTACAAACTGTGTGAAAGCATTTTGTACTGCCTCCTGGGAAGAAAACATTTTATCACCAAGAAAATTGTCCAAATTACGAAAAGAATGGCAGTCCGTTGGAGCAAGGTCTAGCGAATACGGAGGGTGACGAATGGTTTCTAATTGCAGTTCCTGTAGAGTTAAAACGGTTTCACGCGCTGTATGAGTCTAATCTGAAGTCGTCGTGGCTTAACGGATAAGACGTCCGGTGCATTCGTGTTGAGCGATGCACCGATGTTCGAATCTCAGGCCGGTACCAATTTTTCTAATGAAATACGTACTCAACAAATGTTCACGGTTGACTTCCACGGTGAAGGAATAACATCGTGTAATAAAAATGAAACCCCCAAAATTATAATTTGCGTAATTACTGGCGGTAAGACCTCTTGAGAGTCCGCGCGGGTAGGTACCACCGCCCTGCATAGTCCTGCCGTGAAGCAGTAATGCGATTCGGTTTGAAGGTTGGGGCAGCCGTTGTAACTATACTCGACGACTGGCTCGGGAGAAGGCACGGATCCCTGTCGTTTAGGGTGACACAGGTGCTGTCGGGGCACGGTTGCTTCGGCAAGTACCTGTGCCGCATAGACAGGGAGCCGGACGCTCGGTGCCACCACTGCGTCCACTGCGGGGAGGACACGGCGCAACACACGCTCGCCGAGTGTGTAGCTTGGGAGGAGCAGCGCCGTGTCCTCACAAATGAAGTAGGAAGCGATCTGTCGCTGCCGGCCGTAGTGCGGAGGATGGTCGGCAGCGCAGAGTCGTGGGACGCGGTGGTGTCCTTCTGCGAGGACGTGATGTCGCAGAAGGAAACTGCAGAACGGGAGAGGGAGATCTCGACTACCTTCCCCGGCCGCAGAAGGCGCACCGGGCGTAGGACAAGGACGGACAACGCCCTTTTCCGCCCCCCATGGTTGGGTCCACGGGCGAGGGACTTGGGACAGCCCTCGCCTCCTATTCGATGGACC